AGATGCGCATGATGACCAAGGAGCTTAGGCAGGCCTATGCCAAAGGCCAGGGAGAGCAACTTCCACAATGGGGCGGTACTCCACTCCTGCCCTTATTATGAACAGTTCCACTGCATCGGGATGGGGGGAGGGGGTAGTCAGTCCCTTCCTCTCCTCCCTCATTGTGGACTTTGGGTGGGAGACACCAGTCATCGCCCTCCTGGGGGACAGAGCCAGTGCAGAGGAGGCGGAAGAGGAGGAGGAGCCAGATGAGGCCAGCACCATCTCGATGCCTGCCAGCCAGGAGGTCATGATCACCCTGGAGCCAATACCCACCTCCCAGGATGTCTCCCAGGCTTTGTCCAAAGCCAGGGAAGGCCCATCAGGTGAGCACCATTACTTCCCCTAGACACACACCGGGGAAGGCTCCTCACTCAGCCTTCTTGGCCTGGGGATCACGCAGCAGCCTGTGCACGTGGGTGCCCGTGGAGCACCAGTCGAGGGCACACGCTCCAGGAGGCTGCAACAGAGGACCCTTGTGCTCTGGCTCACAGGGTATCTGGAGAGCCCTGGGTGGGACACCCTCGGACACCCTCCCACCACAAGCCAACACTAGCAGGAGGCTGGGGACATGGACACACACACACAGCAAGTGCAGCATACGGGCATGCCCACACTCTCGAGGCAGCATCCACTCCCACGCAGCAGCCTGTGCACGTGGGTGCCCGTGGAGCACCAGTCGAGGGCACACGCTCCAGGAGGCTGCAACAGAGGACCCTTGTGCTCTGGCTCACAGGGTATCTGGAGAGCCCTGGGTGGGACACCCTCGGACACCCTCCCACCACAAGCCAACACTAGCAGGAGGCTGGGGACATGGACACACACACACAGCAAGTGCAGCATACGGGCATGCCCACACTCTCGAGGCAGCATCCACTCCCAGGGACAGCACAGCGAGAGAGAGGCCCCAGGGCCCCTGCCAGAGGAGCCGGCTGGGAGGGGAAGGAAGTGGAGGGGACCCTGGGAGCACCCTCCCTTGCAAGTGGCAGCTGCCACTCTCACACACCTCCCCCCAACATTCTGCCCCCCTTTCCCCAGCAGGCAGGAATACAAGGCCTCTGTGTGAGGCATCACCACTGCCAGACCCGGTGTGTGCATGGCACGGAGGGAAGACGAGCTGCCTCGTCACCCCCACCACCCACCTGCAGGCTTCTGGCCTGGCTGGCATTCTGCCCCCCTTTCCCCAGCAGGCAGGAATACAAGGCCTCTGTGTGAGGCATCACCACTGCCAGACCCGGTGTGTGCATGGCACGGAGGGAAGACGAGCTGCCTCGTCACCCCCACCACCCACCTGCAGGCTTCTGGCCTGGCTGGCACATTCCCATGCATGCTTATCCCTAGTGTGTGGGGGTAGTGAAGCCTGGGACATGTGTGTCCCTGCAGGAAAGGGCCCGCTGTCCAGGCCTCAAGAGTCCTTGCTGGAAGCACATCCCCTTCATCTGACCTGAGACCTTTCGATGTTGGCTCAGAGATGAGGGCTG